ATTTCCCTAATTATTAGTGATGTTGAACATCTTTTAAGATGCTTCGTAGCTATCTTTACTACTTCTTTTGAGAACTCTCTGTTCGGCTCCTTAGCCCCTCTTTTTAATTGGGTGACTTCTTGTCTTGATTCTCTTTTTTTTAGTTCATTATATATTCTGGATATTAAACCTCTGTCAGATGTGTCACTGGTGAAGATTTTCTCCCATTCTGTGGGTTTTCTGTTTGCTTCCCTGGTTGCCTCCTTTGATGTACAGAAGCTTTTTAGTTTAATGAGGTCCCATTTGTTAATTCTTGCCCTTGTTTCCTGAGCAATTGATGTCCAGTTTAGAAAATCCTTTCCTACACCTATATCTTGTAGTTTTTCCCCAATGTTTTCTTCTGATAGTTTCAGAGTTTCAGGCTTTACACTGAGGTTTTTGAGCCATTTGGAATTGACTTTTGTGCAAGGTGAGAGATAGGGGTTTAGTTTCATTCTTCTACAAGTGGAGATCCAGTTTTGCCAGCACCATTTGCTGAACATGCTGTCTTTCCTCCAGTGAATATTCTTGTCCCCTTTGTCAAATATCAGGTGGCTGAAATTTCATTTACTCATATTTGGGTCTTCAATTTTGCTCCATTGATCTATGGGTCTATTTTTGTGCCAGTACCATGTTGTTTTTATGACTATAGCTCTGTAATACAATTTAAAATCTGATATAGTAATGCCCCTGGCATTGTTCTATCTTCTTTAAATGTCTGATAGAATTCTGCTGTAAATCCATCTGGCCTTGGGCTTTTTTTAGCTGGGAGGTTTTGTATCTTAGTGCTCAGGGTTGCTTTGGCTGTCCAAGGTCTTTTGTGCTTCCATATGATTCTTAGGAAGTTTTTTTCCTTCCAACCCTGTGAAGATGCAATGGGGATTTTGATTTGTTATGGGTCTGTTTAAGCTGTTAATCTCTTCTTGGTTTAGTTTTGGTGGTTCCCATGCCTTTAGATATCCGTCCATTTCTTTTAAGTTTTCATATTTAGTAGCATATAGGTTTTAAAACCTATTCCCTTATAATGTTCTGTATCTTTTTTTGGGCGGGTTTATTTTGAGATATTTTAATTTTTTTTTTTTTTTTTGCAGCTATTGTGAAGGGGAATTTTTCCATGTGCTTTCTCTGATTGCTTGTTATTGGCATATAGAGAGGCTACTGACTTTTTTAGGTTAATTTTGTAAACTGCCACTATGAATGTGTTAATAATTTCTAGTTTTCTGGTGGAATTTTTGGTGTCTCTTATATCCTCTGCAAAAAGGGATAATTTGATCTCTTCTTTTCAAATTATTACTCCTTTAATTCCTGCTCTTGTCTTACTGCTCTTGGCCTTTTCAAGTGTCTTGAGTTGCAATGTGAAGTCATTTATTTGTGTTCTTTCAATTTTTTGATGTCGGCACTTAGAGCTATCAACGTCCCTCTAAGAAGTGGACATCCTTGTCTGGTTCCTGATTTCAATGGGAATGCTTCTAGTTTTTCTCCATTTAGAATGACATTGGCTGTGGGTTTGTTATATATGGCTTTAATTATGTTGAAGTATGTTCCCTCTAGTCCAGTTCCCTCTAGAGGTTTGAACATAAATGCATGTTGAATTTTATCAAAGGCCTTCTCTGCATCTATTGATATGACAATGTGTTTCTTGTCTTTGAGCCCATGAGGTTTGTTTTGTGCCCCAGTATATAGTCAATTTTGGAGAAGGTTCCATGAGGTGCTGAGTAGAGAGTATGTCCTTAGGTACTTGGGTAGAATACA